AACACCAAAGTGAACAGAGAACACAATTGATAAAGAGATAAATGAACTCAGGACAAAAATAGAAAACATTAAAGAGGAAACGACACAGGATATGGAAAACCACAGAAAAAAGAACAAAACAGAATTGCAAAACAAAACAATGAAGCAGAATAGAACAAACAGAAGACAGAATCTCAGAACTTGAAGATGAAATGGTAATTAAAGGAAAAACTGAAGAACTATAAATTAAACAACTCAAGACCTATGAAAAGAAAATGCAAGAACTCACTGACTCCATCAAAAGACCAAACTTGAGAATCACGGGCATCGAAGAAGGAGAAGAGGTGCAAGCGAAAGGAATGCGTAATATATTCAACAAAATAATAACGGAAAATTTCCAAAATCTAGAGAAAGATATTCCCATACAGATGCAAGAGGCCTCCAGGACACCAAACAGACCAGATCAAAATAGAAGTACTCCACGACATATCTTCATTAAAACAACAAGTTCAGAAACTAAGGAAAAAATATTGAAGGCTGTAAGAGAGAAAAAACAAGTAACATACAAAGGTAAACCCATCAAAATCGCAGCAGACTTCTCAACAGAAACATTAAAAGCAAGAAGAGCATGGGGTGAGATCTTCCGGGCACTGAATGAAAATAACTTCAATCCCAGGATACTCTACCCAGCAAAGCTATCATTCAAAATAGATGGAGCAATAAAAGTCTTCCATGATAAGCAGAAACTAAAACAATATGTGACCACAAAGCCACCATTACAAAAGATTCTGCAAGGGATCTGCACACAGAAAGTGACACCCAACTTAACCATGAAAGGCAGGCAGCACCAAACCACAGGAAAGAAAAAGCAAGACAGTAGAGAGTAACTCAAGTTAGGTACACACAATCAAACCTTCAAAACAACTAAGACAACTAAATGCAGGAATCACCACATACCTATCAGTACTAACGCTTAATGTTAATGGACTTAATTCACCCATCAAAAGGCACCGTTTGACAAAATGGATTAAAAAGGAAGATCCAACAATTTGTTGCTTACAGGAGACCATCTCACGACAGAAATAACATAGGCTTAGGATGAAAGGCTGGAAGAAGATTTACCAAGCCAATGGCCCCGAAAACAGGCAGGAGTAGCAATACTTATCTCTGACAAAGTAGACTTTCAAACGAGATAAAGAAGGACATTCCATACTAATAAAAGGGGAAATAGACCAAAAGGAATAATTAATCAACCTATATGCACCCAATGTCAACACACCCAATTTCATCAAACATACCCTGAAGACCTAAAAGCATATATAACTCCACACAGTGGTTGTGGGAGACTTTAACACCCATTATCATCAATAGATAGGTCATCCAAACAAAAAATCAATAAAGAAATCCTAGATCTAAAATGCAATAGATCAAATGACCTATTGATGTCTACAGAACATTTCATCCAACTTCTACAAATATACATTCTTCTCAGCAGCCCATGGAACCTTCTCCAAAATAGATCATATCCTAGGGCACAAAGCAAGCCTCAGCAAATATAAGAAAATAGAAATTATACCATGCATCTATCTGATCACAATGCAATAAAACTAGAACTCAACAACAAAATAAAGACAAAAACATGCAAACAGCTGGAAACTGAATAACTCATTACTTAATGAAAATGGTCATTGATGAAATAAAAGGAAATTAAAAAGTTCCTGGAAGTCAATGAAAATGAAAACACAACCTACCGGAACCTATGGGACACAGCTAAGGCAGTCCTGAGAGGAAGTTTATAGCCATGAGTGCATATATTAAAAAGACTGAAAGATCCCAAATCAATGACCTAATGATACATCTCAAACTCCTAGAAAACAAGAACAAGCAAATCCCAAAACAAATAGAAGGAGAGAAATAATAAAAATAAGAGCTGAAATCAAAAAATAGAAACCAAAAAAACCATACAAAGAATTAATGAAACAAAAAGTTGGTTCTTTGAAAAAATAAACAAGATGATAGACCCCTGGCAAACCTGACTAAAATGAGGAGAGAAAAACCCAAATTAGTAGAATCAGGAATGCAAAAGGGGAGATAACAACAAACACCATGGAAGTCCAGGAAATCATCAGAGACTACTTTGAGAACCTATATTCAAATAAATTTGAAAATCTTAAAGAAATGGACAGATTTCTAGATACATATGATCATCCAAAACTGAACCAAGAGGAATTAATCACCTGAATAGATCTATAACACAAAATGAAATTGAAGCAGCAATCAAGAGTCTCCCCAAAAAGAAAAGTCCAGGACCTGATGGATTCTCTGCTGAATTCTATCAGACCTTTAAAGAAGAACATACCAACCCTCCTTAAACTGTTCCATGAAATAGAAAGGGAAGGAAAACTGCCAAACACATTTTATGAAGCCAGTATTACACTTATCCCAAAACCAGGCAAAGACACCTCCAAAAAGAGAACTATAGGCCAATCTCCTTAATGAACATTGATGCAAATCCTCAACAAAATAATGGCAAACCAACAATTCACAACAATTATTCACCAAGACCAAGTAGGCTTCATCCCAGGATGCAGGGTGGTTCAACATACGAAATCAATAAACGTAATAAACCACATTAACAGAAGCAAAGACAAAAACCACTTGATCATCTCAATAGATGCAGAAAAAGCCTTTGATAAGATCCAACATCATTTCATGATAAAAGCTCTAAGAAAACTAGGAATAGAAGGAAAAGTACCTCAACATTATCAAAGCTATATATGACAAACCTACAGCCAGCATTATTTAATGGAGAAAATGAACCATTCCCTCTCAACCGAAACCAGACAAGGATGCCACTATCCCACTCCTATTCAACATAGTACTGGAATTCCTAGCCGCGCAATTAGGCAAGAAGAAGAATAAAGGAATACAATAATAGGTAAAAGAACTGTCAAAATTTCCCTATTTGCAGATGACATGATCTATACCTTTAAAGACCCAAAAAACTCTACTCAGAAGCTTCTAGACATCATCAATAGCTATAGCAAGGTAGCAGGATATAAAATCAACATAGAAAACAATTTAGGCCAAACTAACAATGAGCAAACTGAAAAGAATGTATGAAACACAACAATAGCTCAAAAAAATCAAATACCTAGGGTAAACCTAACAAAAGATGGTGAAAGACCTCTACAAGGAAACTATACACTTCTGAGAAAGAGATTGAGGAAGACTATAGAAAGTGGAGAGATCTCCCATGCTCATGGATTGGTAGAATCAACATAGTAAAAATGTCAATTACTACTCCCAAAAGTAATCTACATGTTTAATGCAATTCCCATCAAAATTCCAATGACATTCATTAAAGAGATTGAAAAATCTACCTTAAATTTATATGGAAACACAAGAGGCCACGAATAGCCAAGGCAATACTCAGTCAAAAGAACAATGCTGGAGGTATCACAATACCTGACTTCAAACTATATTACAAAGCAATAACAATAAAAACAGCATGGTACTGGCACAAAAACAGACATGAAGACCAGTGGAACAGAATAGAGGACCCAGATATGAAGCCATACAACTATAACCAACTTGTCTTGGACAAAGGAGCTAAAAATATACGATGGAGAAAAAGCAGCCTCTTAACAAAAAACTGCTGGGAAAACTGGTTAGCAGTCTGCAAAAAACTGAAACTAGATCCATGTATATCACCCTATACCAAATTAACTCAAAATGGATCAAGGATCTTAATATCAGACCCAAACTCTAAAGTTGATACAGGAAAGAGTAGGAAATACTCTGGAGTTAGTAGGTATAGGTAAGAACTTTCTCAATGAAACCCCAGCAGCACAGCAACTAAGAGATAGCATAGATAAGTGGGACTTCATTAAACTAAGAATAAAGCTTTCTGTGTTCATGCAAAAGAAATGTGTCTACAGGTTACTCCAGAGGCACCGGGCACACCCATGGTTTATTGCAGCACTATTCACAATAGCCAAGTTATGGAAACAGCCAAGATCCCCACCACTGACAAATGGATTAAGAAAATGTGGTATCTATACACAATGGAATTTTATGCAGCCATGAAGAAGAACGAAATGATCATTCGCTGGTAAATGGATGGAATTGGAGAACATCATTCTGAGTGAGGTTAGCCTGGCCCAAAAGACCAAAAATCGTATGTTCTCCCTCATATGTGGACATTAGATCAAGGGCAAACACAACAAGGGGATTGGACTTTGAGCACATGATAAAAGCGAGAGCACACAAGGGAGGGGTGAGGATAGGTAAGACACCTAAAAAACTAGCTAGCATTTGTTGCCCTTAACGCAGAGAAACTAAAGCAGATACCTTAAAAAGCAACTGAGGCCAATAGGAAAAGGGAACCAGGAACTAGAGAAAAGGTTAGATCAAAAAGAATTAACCTAGAAGGTAACACCCACGCACAGGAAATCAATGTGAGTCAATGCCCTGTATAGCTATCCTTATCTCAACCAGCAAAAACCCTTGTTCCTTCCTATTATTGCTTATACTCTCTCTACAACAAAATTAGATAAGGGCAAAATAGTTTCTGCTGGGTATTGAGGGGGGGGAGGGAGGGGGAGTGAGTGGTAAGGGAGGGGGTGGGGCAGGGGGGAGAAATGAACCAAGCCTTGTATGCACATATGAATAATAGAAGAAAAAAAAAAAAAAAAGAAGACAGAGTTGACTGTCAAGAGGATGTCATCTCTTAATAGTGTTCTTAGCTGAGCCACAACTGAGCCATGCTACACAGTGCAATGAGCAACCAGAGCTCAGGCTGTCCTCAGCTCTAAGATCCACCAGCACAGGGCTCTACGGAAAAATTTGCCACAAAAAAGCAGTATGTGCTTGCTATGTTAAATATTGTTTGCAGCATAGTCACTAAGAAGAAACTTTGCTATTTCACTAGAAAAATGGAAAGTAAATTCACCAACAGTTGAAATAAAGACTTAAACCTTTAAGAACTTGATGTCATTAAGGTTAAGTGTATTTTCTACCTCTGAGTAACAGGGTCAAGAGAGAAGGTTGGGTTACAGGGAAACACGCATGACTGAAATCAGGCACTAAAAGCCTTCCTCAGAGAGCGTGAGACATGGCTGAACAAGCATCTGATGACGTGGGCAGGAGGGAAAGCACACAGATGTTTATTTTCACCGAATTCCTAGGAGACATTAAAATATACCATAAATACTACCGCTTTTTCTAAATTTATTGACTCTGTCATCAAAATTATGGTGGCTAAAACTGAAATTGCAAAATTAGATATTAGGAATTAAATTTTCACTGAAAATAGTTTTGTGTACACTTATACATCTTACGAAAAATTTAAAATTAGTTTCCCTTCACAGAAACCCCTTTTAGAATTTTTTTTAAATGAGATAGTGGGTATTATTTAGGATTTAAAATTTAAGTACTGGGGGGAGAAATGTCCCAAAGAATGTATGCACATGTGAATAAATGAATAATTAAAAATAAATAAATACAATAAAAACACAAATAAAATAAAAATAAAATTAAGTCTATCCAAATTAAGTTACTTTAATTTCAGAACTAATCAATAACACCAACCTATTAAAAATGTGTAAGCATTAGACTTACCTCACCATCCTGACCCACACATTCATTTAAATACTCAATTATCTTGTCAATTAAACATAACTTCTTCACCACAGCATGCATTTTAATATCTATGGACAAAAAATTGTTACAAGTTAAAGAACATTTTTATAGTTTTAAACATATTTTGAAATACATAGAACAAGTACCCACATATCTTTCAAGCTGTTCAAAAGAGTTATACCCAACACTGAAATTATGAGGATAAAACACTTAACTTTTTACTTTATATAAATCTGCATTATGTTAAAATGTCAAGTAACAAGCACACATTCCTTTGATAGTAAAAAGCAACACTATAAAGAAGAATGATTATGTAAAATAGTTCAGGCTCTGAAAAGTTCTAGAATTTTAAGTGTACAAATGAATCCTTTTATTTGGGTATGGCAAACTATCTTCTTTATAACTGACATTTCTTCTCTTTTCCAAATTGATCACTTCAAAATACCTAGAATTCTCCACAAGCTAATGTATAAATATGATTTGCAACATCAACATTTCTTTTTCAATAAAATATATCTATACTCAAACTGTTAATAGCAAATAGAAAAGAGATTTTAATATTCTATAAATATTTCTGAATATGAATTCTTTTAATAAGTTTATATTCACATATTATAGTAATAAGAAAAAGTAGTAAGGATTTTATACACATATTACTAGAGCCAGAAACACAGGTTTATAGATTAGTTGCATTTAGCAAATTTAGGCAACAAATTTTCTCCTATACCTCACTGAAAAAAGCACAGACACATATTGATATTGAACTAAAAGCTTGCAATATAACTACCTTTAACTGGTACTTTTAAAAGAATTCCATTACCCCATTGTAGAGCACACTAGAACTGTATTTTTGAAATGTTAACAATATTGAAGAAATGTTCTCTGAAAGAGTTTTCCTTGGTTTCTTTTTTTAACTGGGCTGTCTACTTTTTGTTTGTTTTTTGAGGAAGGTCTCACTCTATATCATAGGCCGACCTTCAACTTGAAATCCTGTTCTGTGTCCCAAGGACTGGGATAACAGGTGTGCACTACCATGTGCAGTTTCCACATTGTTTAGAGCTTTATTTCCTGTAGCATGTACTGTTATTAAGACAGCAAATACATTATTGTGAATAGTACTACAATAAACATGAGAAGTGTAAGTGTCTCTTCAATGTAGTAATTTCTTTTCCTTTGGATATATATACCGGGTAGTAGGATTGCCAGATCATATGGCAGTTTTCCCTTTAATATTTTGAGGAATTTCTGTACTGTTTTCCAAAATGGCTATACTAATTACATTCCCATCAATAGCATATAATGTATATTATACAACCTTGCCAGCACTTTTTTTATTTTTGACAACAGTCATTTTAACTAGAATGAATTGATACTCCACTGTAGTTTTGATTTGCCTTTCCATGTGGGTTAGTGCTATTGAGTATTTTTTCATATGTCTATGACCACCTATATTTCTTCCTTTGAAAAATTTCTATTGAGATCTTTAGTTAATTTTTTAATCTGTCAATCAAAAAATTAAATAAGGCCAGGTGCCAGTGGCTCACACACCTGTAATCCTCACCGCTTGGGAGGGTGAGATAAGGAGGATCACGGTTTGAAGCCAGTCTGAACACTACAAGCAAAGCAAACAGTATATTTTACAAGTTGTGTTTCTTAATGAAAAAAAAAAATTAAAGAAAATGCACAGCTACTGTGCATTATTTTATCATACCAACAAATATACTACTTGATTAATTTCTGAGCAAGATACACAAATTGAAAATATCACATATTTGGTAAATTGAGAAAGGAACATAAACTTTACTGTCAGAATTCTATCAATATTTTAAACGAAAATAGTTCTATCAAATGACTTCCTTCTACAGGTCAAATAATGGTAACCTACTATACCAGCAAACTTTTCCTGTAAAGAACCAGGTAGTAAATATGTTAGGTTTTACTGGCCAAATATGGTCTCTCTCATCTGTTCTTCAGCTTGGTTTTGTTTAACAACTCTAAATATATAAAAACCATTTTTAACTTGAATGCTAAAAAAAGAACAGGCCACAGGCTGGATTTTGCCCATAAACTGTAGTCTGCCAATCCCTGACACTACTGCCCACTGTGATCTCAAATCCTCTATCAACAGCACAACAATCACTCTCCTAAAAGACATTACCTTGCATGATCACAGCTAACTGTTCTGCAGCTGACTTTCTCAAAACAAGATCAATATCATCTGAGGTGAAGATTTCATATACCTTTTGAACAGTCTCCACCTACAAACCAGGAAAAGAAATTAATTTCTACCTGCTTCAAATTCTCCAATAAAATTTTATAGCTCATTTGGTTAAGTAACTATTATATTTACATATAAATTTGCAACAATGATGTAATAAGTCAGGAAAAAACTTAGGATCTAAAATAAAGAGACATACTGTCAAATAAGCCTCTCTTCTTAATGTACATTGTTTGCTGGGAAGCCATTCATGACCCAGTAATCCATTAGAACCTTAAGAACTCCACAGTAAACATGCAGGCTTCCTAACATTTCTACAAGTTATATACCAAGCCAACCTGAGAAGACTGACAGGCCTATGATTCAAGATTTCCCTATTGCTCAAGCCACCAGTTGGAAATGCTGTGCTCCTCTTCCTTAAGAGACCCTGGAGCAGACAAATCAAATGAAGTGACAGTCAGGAACTGGTATGGCTCACTTCATGGCAGGACAGAGTATAAGACAGCAAAAGGAAAACAACAAAGCAATATTCCTTCTTTCAACTACCCACTGCTATCTTATAGCCTCACTATGGACTCAAAAAACACAGTTCCAGATGTTCTATTCCTCCTTCCTCCAAACTATACACAGGGCAAAGGAGGGACTATCAGTGGCTTACTATGCAGATTCCCCAACTGGACCTTACATGTGTCCAGGGGGAGACTCTTCAATCTTCTTGGGAGAACTGTCATATGGCCTGAAACATTTAGCTCAGAAGAACACTGAATGTCTTTCCCCATTAAAAAGAAAAGCACTCTATTAGAAAATGGGCTTAAGTTATGGAAACAGCCAAGATGCCCCACCACCAACGAATGGATTAAGAAAATGTGGTATCTATACACAATGGAATTTTATGCAGCCATGAAGAAGAATGAAATGTTATCATTCACTGGTAAATGGATGGAATTTTGAACATCATTCTGAGTGAGGTTGGCCTGGCCCAAAAGACCAAAAATCGTATGATCTCCCTCATATGTGGACATTAGATCAAGGGCAAACACAACACTGGGATTAGACTATGAGCACATGATAAAAGCGAGAGCACACAAGGGAGGGGTGAGGATAGGTAAGACACCTAAAAAATTAGCTAGCATTTGTTGCCCTTAACACAGAGAAACTAAAGCAGATACCTTAAAAGCAACTGAGGCCAATAGGAAAAGGGGAACAGGTACTAGAGAAAAGGTAAGATCAAAAAGAATTAACCTAGAAGGTAACACCCACGCACAGGAAATCAATGTGAGTCAATGCCCTGTACAGCTATCCTTATCTCAACCAGCAAAAACCCTTGTTCCTTCCTGTTATTGCTTATACTCTCTCTACAACAAAATTAGAAATAAGGGCAAAATAGTTTCTGCTGGGTATTGAGGGGGTGGGGGGAGAGGGAGGGGGTGGAGTGGGTGGTAAGGGAAGGGGTTGGGGCATGGGGGAGAAATGAACCAAGCCTTGTATGCACATATGAATAATAAAAGAAAAAGGAAAAAAAAAAGAAAAAAGAAAATGGGCTTGGCGGTGGCCTATAATCCCAACCCTTGAGGGGCTGAGGGAGGAAGATATCAAATTCAAGGTCAGCCTAGACTACATAGCAAGTGAAATAAGTTAAAATCACAGGAATGACTAGTGGAGATAACAGCTTCCTTTTCAGAATTTTATGTCAGTCAAGGACGATGTAGGCACAGTCCAAGTTAAAATAGGGACATGGGTGCTAAACCTCTTGTAAAAAGACAAAGAATTAGAAGAGAGATTAACAACACCAAAAATAAATCTCAGACCACTGTAAAACTTTAAAGAAAGTGCTTGTGTCCCACATTATTTATCCCCTCTCTTTGTCTGTTTTGGGTTTTTTTGTTGGTTTTTAGTCAGGGTTGTACTATAGCCCAAGCTGGCCTCAAACTCATGATGTAGCCCAATGGCCTTAAAATCAGGATCTTCTTGCCTCAGTCTCCCAAGCGTTAAGATTACAGCATGTGCCACCACACACAACTTTTATAATGCAGAGGCTAAAACTTTTTTTTTTTTTTGGTGGTACTGAAGTTTGAACTCAGGGCCTCACGATTGCTAGGCAGGTGCTCCACCACTTGAGCCACTCCACCAGCCCCAGAGGCTGAAACTTTTATCATAAGAACTTTTTTTTTTGCTATTAAGGGCAATTCCAACATAATACTTTTTATGTCAGCAATATTTGTTTTTAAAAGGCATCACAAAAATTCTTTTCAGTATATTCACCTTATGCTATATTTAAGACACAAATCAAAATAATTTGTATTTCTACTATATATGCTAAATAAAGAGATAATCTGTGATAGACAATAGACACTTGAGACATCAATTTTCATTGATACATGATACACAAGTAGATCAAACAGTTACTCAGCAATGAGAAAAAATTATGGTCACCTTAATAACTAGTTCTCTTCTGTCATCCAATCTGAGTTCAATAGGTCTCTTCACAATAAATAAATTAGTGACTGTGGAGAGGACTCTGGCATCTATCGCAGGGCGCTTTGTATCAGCCCCTTCCTCACTCGTAAGATGAAATGTTAGAAGCTTCAATGCTAGTGAACGAACCCTAAAAATACAAAGTATTTAAAGTCAACATTTTATATAATATAAAGGCCTATATTACCAAGAATTACTGCATATGAATAAAGCAAAATAATTTGCCATACTTATATTGCTCTAATATTTTTCTTTTTCTATTAAAACTAAGTTTATTTAATTTTATATTTACAAAATAAACATCAAAAATAAAGAACATCAGTAAGTTCGTTAAATGGGTAGGTGAGACTTTTTTTTAAGAAACGATTAAATACAGAATACTGTTAGACAATGAAATGGAAAAACAAAAGCAGCAAGTTGAAAGAGATCTGCTGGGAGACGCTGGGACAGCCATGAACCAGTCACTCCTCTGACAGGTACTTAAACTCCCCGGAAACGGGGTACATCTTAAACGAAATACAAGTTGCTGGATTGTAAGTACTATCTACGAGACAACAACTAAAGCAAGGTGTCTCTTCTGCACAACAGGCTGAGTTGCCTTGCTATATGTGTGCCTGTCACCCTGAAGTCCTCCAAATCGTAACTTATCATACTCTTTTATAATTAAAAGTAAAGTATAATTGACAATAAAATCTTCTCAATTACAGGACAAATTTTAGAAGGGCAGGGCCCATGTCCGTGTTTGGTGCTGCTATATCCCCACAGCTGATGGCAGCTCACAGGCACAGTAGCTGACACTCAGTTCCTGAATCTATCAGAAAGCAGATACTTACTGTAATATTACTGCCACATACTGTCTCCAGAGGACAAATATTTACTCTACATGGTGTGAGGAGTCAGGCAGATTTTCTCCCTTTCACAGTTATTGCGTGCAAGCTTACAAAGGCTAAACATCAAAGTTGGACACTGTGGCACATGCCCATAACCTCAGCTACTCAGGAAGATCACTTGAGCCCAGGAGTTTGAGACTGACCTGGGCAACATAGACCCAGTCTTGAAAAAGCAACAAAAACAAAGGCTAGACATCTACAAATGGTTTTCGTTTGTTCTTTTTTTCATAAGCCAGTGATATCTAACTTAAAACCTGGGATTGTAAGTTTAGGGATAGTTTCAACACCCTAGTAAAGAAGGCTAGAGATAGGAATTAGAAAGCAGTTTTATGCATCTTCTCTGATATATAAATTTGGCATATTTTCATGTTTAGCACAGGATATCAAAATCCAGTTATTCTTACACATGTATCTCATTCTCAACTATACTTTTTTTTGAGTATATTTATGTATAAAGTACTCTATGAGGATATAAAGATCAGACAAAAGACAGGATTCCTAACTACATGGGGTTTATGAATAGAATAGAGTAGAATTAATCAAATAAGGAAAACAAATATGTAAATTTTTTATAATTCTTTGTAATAGATAATTACTTAACCCAAAGAGAGTTTTCTAACCTGTCCTTCATTTCTGGATATGTCCTGCCTGTTAAGAGTGTCTTTGTTAGTTGGTTCTGGTAGCTCACGTCTGTAATCCTAGCTACTCAAGAGGCAGAGATCAGGGGGATCGCAGTTCAAAGACAGCCTGGGAAAATAGTCTGCAAGACCCTATCTTGAAAATACCCATCACAAAAAAAGGCCTGGAGGAATGGCTGAAGGTGAAGGCTCTGAGTTCAAACCCTAGTACAGGGAAAAAAAAAAGTGTCTTTGTTTACTTAGGGTCATTGGGCCCCCATAAGTGAACAAGAAATAAGCTTCTATTGTACTAAATCACCTAATTTGGGGGTTTGTTAAACTAAGGAATCCTACCCTGGTATACAGGTAAAGGCACAGCCCAGGGCCACTGGGAACGTGGGGGAGCCAGCCTGAGGAGCACCTTGACTGCATCTGTACTACTTTACCATCTGCACTACACAGGTATTTCCAGGGTCTCTTCTTTTGATTTCTCCTCTTTCCATTCCCTTAATGTTTTGGTTTATTTCTACCTACTTCCTCATTTTTCAGTCTGATCTCTGTTTCTAAGTATGCCGCTATACTGTGCTGATGTAAGGCTTGGGGGAGGAAATTAGCAACTGTCAAAAGAATGTGTTTGTTCTTCCTCACCTTTTCAATCAACTCTTCTACATCACTGCTTATATAAAAACAAGACTCTGAACTTTGTCTTCTCAATGAAAGAACACTGTTAACTACAGAGAGCAACAGAGAAGGTTCATGTGGCACTGACATAGGAAAAGAAAACAGTTTTTCTTTCTGATCTTTCAGTTAAAATTAATACCTGAACAAATTCATGGTCAAGAAAAGGACACTTTTTAGTTTCCCAAGTAACACTATGAACTGAATAAAATTAGAAGAGCTGCGTAACTCTTCTTCATAAGGCAATTGACCCAATGCATTTTTTATGAAAAATTTAATTTGCAGAACAGACGTTTAGAAAAGGATCACTCAGGAAACTAACACTTTCTAAGAAGAAGAGAAGACAGGAATATGCTATAATTTTTGCAACCTACTTACCTCCATGGCCTTCCAACCTGCCTACAGCACTAGTGAACAGCACTTTGAAGTAGTAGTACTTACAGAGACTGCTCTGGCAAGGAATGACTAGGTGTAACATGGATGAAGTGCTTCAGGAAAGCATCTAAAAGACCTTACATCTGCTTCATTTCACACATCGCTTTCCTTTGTCTATCTAATGATGCAGAATCATCCTCTTTTAAATTTTTTTTAGTTTCAGAAAAATATAACTGCTATACTTTCTTAGAATGTTTCCATTAACCTTTTATAGTCAAAAGACTACATTGTACTCACGATGGCTTTTTCACTAGCAAAAGTCGCAGCATGGACTTTAACCGGGTGGTAGAGGGTAGAATCCCTTCTCCCGCCTCAGAACTCGCTTTGCTCAGCAGGAGAATGCAACTACCCAAAGGATCTTCTGGGTCGGCATAGCCCTAATAATTTTATTTTTAAGAGAGAAATTATCATTCAATTTTATACATATTAAGTTTTGAACTTGAAAATAATAATAGTAGTGGCCTATCATGAAACTCGTAACTTTCTTTCAATTCAGTTGAATAAAACAGTCACTTTATAAAATAACCTTTGTGAGGTAAGGAGCTACATAAAACTGTATTTTTTTTAAAAAAACCTCTAAAAAATAATACTGGAGAACTTCAGGAAAGGATGCTAACTTTCCTGACACTTGCCGATTTTTCTGTTTCCCAAGATTCTAATAGGGGCACATCCCTATACAAGGTATTTCACAGATCTTCAACCCCTGGGCCCATAGGATGATGATGGAGTCGTGTGCTTGCAAGAGGACCAGGGAGCCTCAAGGACAAAAGCCCAGCCTGAAGTAAATCAGGATTGTACCTAAAGCACATCCTTCCTTCCCCCTTTTCATAGAGACCTGGACTCCCCCACTCCTTTAATATGCAGGTCTGCTAATAACAGCTTTATTTCCAGGATAAACCATGATATCACTCTAATCACATATATGGCTTCAGGGAAGCTGGCTATGTAATGTCTGCTTAAAAAGCACTATAAGCTTTGTCTCAAAGCCTTTTGAGTTGTATTTTTCACACCCAACACTAAGTACCTGTACCTCACTTTTTAACCTCCCACCCAGATACTTAAAGTATAAACAGACAAATAGCTATCCTTGTTTAACCTTCTGTCAAACAAGACGGCCACCCTCTTCCTGTTCACTTATCCACAGTGCCTTCAGGGCTCCTCTTCATTTTTATCACAGTTTGACAGTTCTGCTGTTTGCCTGTTTTCAAACCACTCACCCCAGCTAACGATTAACAGTATCACAACAGGTAAACTGCACAGAGTACCTGTAGTACTGGAATGACAGGACAGAGAGACTCAATAAACTTGTTCCAGGTCATTGCTGTCATCATCAATCGTCCCTGAAGCAAATACAACAGAATGGTCTTGGCAGCAGCATTCACCTGCTCAACAACAGACACAGCAATGCAGTACAATAATTGTTCCACTAAGTCATCTTGCATACAAATCTAGAAAGGGGTCATAATCCACCTCTCTTTCCTCAAATGCTCCTGTTTCCATGGCATCATCTTATATTCTGCTCTGAACAAGTTCTCCCCTTAATGATTTCTGCTTTTCTACCTTTATAAAAAAAAGTTTGAAATGATCTGCTTACTATAGCAATTCTACAGTTCTCTATAGCTTAGAAGAAAATTGTAAGTAAAGTGTCTGGCCTGATTCTTTGAGATCAAAGACAATCTGCATTTGAGTTCACATTTATATATATATAAAATCACAACTGAACATTATAGATATATGTTATATATATATCTCAAAGACGGGTTTCTTTTTAATTTCTCATCATACTATCCAGTTTTTTAAGAACATTTCCTTTGTTGAGTAACCTTTTGGACTTATTTTCAATATATCATACCTCATTTTTGGGTTCTTGAATACCAAATGCACAAATTTCATAGAGAACTTTCGGATGAAGTAGAAAATGAATTCCACTACAAAGTGAAGACACAGGTTTAATGACATTATGGACACCTAGACATTCCTGTAAAATAATGCAAACAAAACTTTTAATTACTGGCACTGGTTTTTCCAAAGGATCTCTCTTTCTTGTGTTTATAATTCACTTCCAATTTTAATTTCTACTTCACTAAAACTTTTTTTTAACTAGTAGAGGATGAAAAAGAGTCTCTACCTAGAAATCTGTATGAGATATATCTTATATTACTTTCTGCCAACAAGCATAGTCTTGATAAATTAAATAACTGAAGTGCTGAGCCAACAGCAAGTTTGAACAGACAAGAAGGACATAAAGAGAACAAACTTATCCTAAGGTGTTTGCAGCTTACCCTTTGAGGTTGAGAAAGAAAAATAAAAATCAAAAGACAAAATTACTGGGGGAAGGAGGACAATTATAAGAAATCTTTTCTCAATTTGTGAAAGAAGAATAATACTTTGTTAGAAGTTACTTAAGGTGAGAGAGGAAAAAACTACTAAAAATATTAGCAGATTTTAAATACAACAGAGAAGGTAAAACTACAAGCAATAATGAGTTAGATAAATACACTTTTTTTCATAATGCAAATTACTACTTCCTAACCACAAACAACAATTCAATGGCTCAAAAGGTATACAAGTATATACATTGTGTATATTCATTTTCTCTTTTTAACTATTAACTTCATGCCACAGAACAACTTTGCATTCCCAGAACTTGAAAGAGCTAAAGCCTCAGTCCTAAGGTTTAAAAATAGCTGTCACTCACTTCCTTAAGATACTTAAGCTCAACTCTCTGAGCTTCAACTTGTTCACCCATAAATGGGAATAACATCATTTAGAAGGTCTTCTATGTCCTTGTCATTTAGAAGATGACTCAACTAAGGTTTGTGGCTCAAAAATCATCCCTAGACATCATCCATCAGGAGGCTGAGGCAGGAAAATGGAGAGTTTGAGGACAGTCCATGCTATATAGTGAGTTCAAAGTCAAACTGGGCTACACACTGAGACATGGTCTAAAGAGCAAATAAATGTAAATTGCTCTGTAATATACCCTGAATTCATTTGCTTCTCACCATCTCCCCTATATCAACATACTTAACAGGACTACTACAATGTAATGGGTCTTCTAGCTCCCACGCAACCCCTATAATCCACTCCACACAAGAGGAAGAACCACCTTTTTACAAAGATATTCAGATCAGGTCACCCTCCTGCTTAAAATCATTCATAGATTCTCACTGTACTCAGAATAAAATTCAAAGCTTTAGAGTGGTGGGCAAAACATGAGCAGGCTACCCCTGCCTACCTATCCAACTGAGTTTGGTACTTCCCACTATCAGTATTTCCTATCTGCTCTCTCAGTACACTCCAACCATACTGACCTTTTCATTCCTGAAACATGCCCAGTGCATTCAAACCTAAAAAAAGGAGGAACTTTACACCTGCGTTGTCCTGCCTCCCTCTTTCCCTCCCTATCCAGTGCACCTAATTTGAATCCACATTCCCTGGCCATTCTATTCCATCCTCTCTGCTTTCTTTACAATAATACAAACAATTTTAAATTACATTTATTATGCATAATGCTTATCTCTTTCTTCCACATCCAAAGGCAAGCTCTACAAGCACAGATTCTTTCTGCACTTTATACCATGTATCACTGAAGCCTGGCATATACTGTGTCCAGTAAATATTGAATGAATTTTCATGTAAATAACGGACATGTCTACCATACGGTCATGAGAGAAAAGCTGTTTTGCCTCTTTCCCATTTCTCCCTCAAAGACAACAGAAAGATGAGTTCCCTATTCAGAAAAGATAACATGTACATTAGCAGCATTAGTAGCTCCTGTATGTAGGTTCTGTAGAACTGCAGCAATGCCTTTAAGTCTTTCCAGTAACACCATATGAAAGACATTGTCAGTTAAAGTGAAATGTCCATACAAATCCTTACACCTAAAACTAGATACTGTATCCTTACAATACAAGGAAAAAAACTACAACAAATTTCATTGTTTGGAGTTTTTAACATAGACATTATTATAACTCCCTGAAAATGAATTTTAAGCACCTTATTGTACTACACAAATGAGTATCTTTTGCAAGAAAGAAAAGACCACAACTACATTTTGCAAGAACAATGTCAACTAGATAAGTTCTGAGAGTTAACAAGAAAATAAAACTTTTGGGAGATCCAAGATGGCAGTTAAGGGTAGGGAATCAGAAATCCTAAGCTCCATGACTCCAGAAACCACCTTGAGACATTGGAGCTATACTTGGGTAATTCTGATCACTTCTAGTCAAAATAATAACCCACCAACACATTAGGAGCACATAAAATTCAAGGAATGACCCTCCAAACAGCTTTTAATTGCACCTAACAGCTGGGAAAATCCCACACAGCACAGCCAGCAAGGTGTATCTCACCCTGGGAAAAAAGCCCCCTGGCTGTTTTTTCAGTCCCCTCACAAAAAAGCAGAAGATAGAGCATCAATCAGAATTGAACTCTGCAACATCCTGCACCCCTAACCCATGGAAAGCCCCCAAGCCACCCCACACTGAAAGAAGCAGTACGCCATTTCTCCTGACTCCAAAGCTGCTTGCATGAATCTGCAAAATGAACAAGTGAGCATCACGCACCATGCACAACTCCCCTACCCACCCACCCACCAGGAACATAATCAAGCACAGCTCCTGAGCAAATTGAATCCCCCCCCAACAAAACTGAAAAGCATATAGCAAATTCTAATCTAACACCAACATTGGAGGTGGGGGTGGGTGGAACGCAGAACCTGCCCCAGAGAACAGGGGTGCAGCAATGAGCCTATCTCAGTGAACAAACACAGGAAAGGCAACAAAGACTGAAAGCAGAAGTGGGGTGACAAGCCAGCCTCCCAGAGTCAAACTAGCACCAAACAGAGGTTAGGAGAGGCACAAAGGCTGAGAGCAGGAGTGGGGTGACAGGCCAAGTTCCCAAAGCAGGGCAGGTGGTGGATCCTGGAGCTGGTCTCGTGGGACAGAGGACAGAACTCAAAGCTGAACTGCCCCACCCTGCTGGGGGAGGACCCAACCAGAGTTGAAGTTGTAGGGCAATACAGCTGCTGCCTGGTGAAAGCAATAGTTATGACCACCCTGGATGAACTGGCAATGAGTTACCTCAGTTCCCAATTGCAACTTGCCCTGTGGACAGAAGGAACCAAACAGTACTCAAAACCAGGCACCTGGTGATACCACCTCAGAGCTTCCGCTTGTACGCCAATACCAGGATTGGACGCCTAAGGAATAACTCCAGAACTTTTACCAAACAGACTGACATTTTAGTTGTTGTGGTACCTGGTATTTTGGGGGTTTTATTTCTTCTGTATTATTAACTTTATCATCACTATTTTCTTATCCCTATTCTTACCCCCATCACTTTCCCTTCTTTTCCTGTGCTACAATCTATTGTTCTACCTCCCAAGTATTCTTTCTGCACCTTCTAATCCATGCTACCCCCTTCTTCACCTTCCCCTTCTATTCTCCCCCAACCTGTGACCACACTACCCCTCCCTCCTGCACACTCACCACCCACCGACCAACCTACTGTACCAACTTGACACAACCCCAGACCCCTGCAATCCCTGACACATGCACCCTCCACTACAACAGAAATACAACCACACACAAGAGCCACAAAACCTAGCAGCCCCCATTTCTCTTTGCCCACCCACTCACCCCTTTTCTGCCCCCTCCTTTTAGTGCCACCTTTACCAATTACCCAAGTTTCAATATCTAGCCTAACAACCATTACACCCCCCCCAACTCCCACTGTTTATAGATTTTAGCACCAAGGGGTTTTCTATATCATATGTAAATAACGGTCTGGCATTGAACCTGTGAATTTGTTATTGCACAGTTAACCTCCAGGCCAGGGACAGAAAGAGCACATCAACCCAGCTACCAATCAAAGTCAGTCACAACACAAAAATTGAATCAATGGAAAGGAAACAGCCAATTAAAACCACCAACTAGCCTATCAAGTACATAGTTGCGGATGTGAGGGCAATCTGGCTGCGACATCTGTCACCCCATTGATCGCCAGGGTTGATTCAGCTGATCTGGTTGGCTAGGTGGGTGTTCCTCCCTCACTGCTCCATGTGTGTCCCAAAGCTGTGCACTCGGTCAAAGAGGACAACCACCCTCAAAAGAGGAGGACCATTCTTTGGTCAAGGGTATACAAGTAGGTGTGCTCCCCTGCTAGAACTTCCAAACAAGTTCTCAAGAAAATAGTTGCACAGCACCAAGTGGAGAGATGGGAAGAAGAAGAAGGGATGGAAACCACGCTCCTAAAATAAATAATTCAATACAAAGATTCAGTGGGATGAAGAAAATGGATACCCAGTTCCTGACCCTAACAAAACAATGATAAATGTCACTAAGGAGCCAAGTGACACCTAAAAAAAAAAATCCCTCAAAGAGGAAATCTTGGAAGAAATCACAGAGAAACTTGTGGAGAAGATATTAAACATGGTTAACCAGAATGTACAAGATGCACTCAAGAAATTTCATGACACCAAAAATAAAAAACATGAGAAGACACAGAAACAAATAAATGAACTCAGGGAGGACTTCAACAAACACCAAAGTGAGACAAAGGACACTATAAAAAAGGAGATATATGAATTAAAGAAGACAATAAAAAATATAAAAGAGGAGTTGAACAAAGATACAGAAAACCTCAGAAAAAAGAATCAAACAGAAATTCTGAAAATAAAACATCCCTTTAGTCAAACAAATGACAAAATGGAAGGCCACTCCAGTAGACTAGACCAAGTGGAAGACAGAATCTCAGAGCTTGAAGATAAAATAAAATTAAAGTAAAAACAGAAGAAATCTTAGTCAAATAATTCAAGAGCTGTGAAAGAAATATGAAAGAACTCAGAGGCTCCATCAAAAGACCAAACCTGAGAATTATGGGCACTGAAGAAGAAAAAGAGGTACAAGCCAAAGGGATATGAAATATATTCAGTAAAATAATAACAGAAAATGTCCCAAATCTTGAGAAGGTTTT